TCTGGGATGATGCAAGACTTAAAGTTGAATGATACGGTTTCCTATAATATTCTGCAATACGCAGATGATACGATCATCATATGTGATGGAACTTGGTCTAACCTTTGGGCCTTGAAGGTTATATTAAAAGGTTATGAATTGATATCTGGTCTTAAGATTAACATTGGGAAATCTTCCTTGTTTGGCATTGGTATGGGGGAGTCGTTTCTTCATGCGTTGTAAGATTGACTCTTTTACATTCAAATTCTTGGGTGTTTACGTGGGTGGGAATCATCGTAAAGTCTCATTTTGGCAACCGGTGTTAGACTGTTTAAGAAGGAGATTGGCGATGTGGAAAGGTAGACTGTCATCCACTGGAGGGAGGCTCAACCTCGTCAAATCTGTGTTATCTACTATTCCAATTCATTATCTTGCCTTCTTCAAAGTACCAAAGAAGGTGCAATCATTGATGTCGTCCATCCAAAGTCGGTTTTTGTGGAATAATTTGAAGGACTCGCATGGCATTTCATGGATTAAGTAGAGAGATATATGTAAGCTATGGAGGAAGGTGGTTTAGGTGTTAAAGATATTGGTCTCTTCAACAAAGCTCTATTATCCAAATGGCTTTGGAGATTTTTGACTGACCAAAAGGCTATATGGATGGGTATTTTTAAAGTACGTTACGATAATTTCAGAAACTTTCTTTTGGCCAAAGATTCACTCAATTGTCACAAGAACTCTTCACTTTAGTGGAAAAACATTATGTCACTTCTTGAGGTGGAAGAGTGATCGATAAAATAGCAAGTGTACTATTCTGCCGATTGTAGTTAAAATAGGGGGATTATCCCCAGTATCGATCTCGAGGACTGCGTTATGCAATATAAGCTCAATTTAAATTTAATTAAACAAAATTCAATTGGGGGTTTGTAAAATTGGTTTCACGAATTTTAAACAAAATATTTAGAATTAAGCAAAATAATAAACAAAGTTCAACAAGATATGAGAGCATGATAGGGGCAGTGTATGAATTTCCTTGCAATAATATAACCCTTATTTCATAACATAAACACAATTTTTATCAAGTTCTTGATTGCTATTAGTGTTTACTCCTAAGGCCTTAGTGAGAAAACCTTTGAAATCATAATCAATTTACTACGTCCATAGGCAAACTAATTTGAAATCAAGTATTGAAAATAGTTTCAGCAGTACTCAAGTGCACAACAGGGTAATCCTAGTCCTAGGCCTTATCTACTGAGGAATTATCGATCAAATTGTATTAACGATGGTTTGTCCGACCTAAAGTTAACCATAAAACTAAATCAATTTTTTCGGTTGAAAAAGTTATAAAATCATTGATCGATAAAACTTGATGAATAAAAATAAGTGCTTATGTCATAAAAATAAGGAATATAATATCATTACAATAACGATTCAGGAACACCCCCTAGCATTGGGGGGGACTTAGCTACTCATAGTCAATAAAGTAAATCGAACAATTAGATACAACATTACAGTACAAATTGAGATTACTTTTGATCTTCAATTGCTTTGGCCTTTGAAAATCTCCCGTTCTCCCTTTTCTCCTGAGCTCCCAATCGTATCTTGTCGTTCTTTCTTTCACAATCCAAAAAGTCCCCTTTCTCTTTTCCAAAATGCGTTTCAAATACTCACAGACCCACTAGACAGGCCAGGAAATTCCAAAAATGCCCTTCAGGGTCAAAATTGTAAAAAATTGAAAAATGACACGCCCAGGCCAACACGGGCCGTGTCAACTGACACGGGCGGCCGTGTTGGCCCCCCTGGTCTAGATACAAAAGAAAACATCAGCCAACCTTGCTGACACGGGCACCTGTGTCAGCTTCCTGTCTTGCACACCAACACGTCCATGTTGTCCTTTTCTTGATATTGCCTGTGTCAGGTGACACGGGTGGCCGTGTCAGGCCACTGAATTTGCTTTAAAACCTTTTTCGCCTTCCCGGAATCCCCAATTTCTTCGCCCGAGTCCTTAGCCTTACTTCGTATGAACCTGAAATTATCAAGACTACCACCAAATGCATAAAATGCACCAAATATAACATAAACTACTTATAGAAACAATGCGATAATGAAAATGCGGAAAGTATAATAAACATTAACATTATAAAAGAAGTGTTACCGATTGTTGTAACTTTATGCCGAATAAATGGACGAAAAACTCATAGAGTTGGTGATCGATCAAAGAGGCAAGCAACTTTACCAACCAACTCTCTCATCATGTAGGTGATGGTCATATGACTCTTTTTTTATTATCAAAATGGTTGGGAGATAGATCATTGCAACATATTTTCCAAATTTGTTCATGGCTTTCAATATGAAATTATGTTTTGTGAGTCAATTGGGAAGTTGGCGTGATGAATGCTGGATTTGGAAGTTAAATGATTTGGGTGATGCAAACAATGTGATGTTGCAGACTGAACTACATGAGCTACATGCGCTGTTAAGGAAATGTGTATCATCAAGAATGAACCAGACTATATCATTTGGCCATATGCAGGTAACCAATTTTTTTCTATTGGATCATGTTTTGCACTGCTGTCAAGAGCCATGTGCAGCAGTAGTATTGGTGCAGGAAAAATTCACGCACGTAAGCTGTCTTGGAATGAAACTTATCCGGTAAAGATTCACGACTTTGTGTGGCGGTTGATTTTAGATAGACTTCCAACTTGTATTAATCTAGTACGTCGTGGAATTATTACCAATCCTCACGAAAGCTCTTGCATCTTCTGTTTCGAATGTGATGAAGATTTTAAGCATGTCTTCTTTGGTTGTATCAAAGTTAAATGTATATTGAGGAATATTTGCAAGTGGATGGAAGTTGAGATGTTTTATTCAATAGAGGTGGTAGATCACTTATTAACTTGGATAGACAAAGTTAAATTAAAGATGTGGATTTGTAATGCGGTTGGATTATGGTCGATTGTCTGTTGGAGCATTTGGTTTTCGAGAAACCAAATTCTCTTCAACGATGACATTGGAGATCTAAGAATTGTGTCGCATAGGATTGTTATAGAGTCTTGACGGCGACTTTCCAAAATGCATAAGCAATTGTTTGATTGTAGCTACTATGACTGGTGCAAACATCCTTGGCTTTTTCTTTGATTGTTGAATTTTGCTTTTGTGTTTTTGATCGATTGTAGATTGTAATCAGGTTGAGGTACCCCTAGTACCTCTTTTGTTTATAATAGTTTTTTTTTGCTTATAAAAAAAAAAAGAAAAAAAAGAGAAGTAGAATTTATTTTATTATACTAATTTTAATTCAATTTTTAAGAGAAAAAATAAAATATGAATCAACAGTATAAAACCAATCCCCTTCATGCATTCTGTCATATCATATTATAAATTTTAAATTAATAATATGATATGACATATTGATGGAATCTTATTAGATAACCGAATAAAAATGCATAGCAATTAAACTCTTTAAGAAGTGGATTGAGACAATTCTTTCTATATATTATTTATATCCTAAAATGATGAATTTGTATGAAATATCAATCTAAAACTAATTTAAAACATTCCATTAAATTCATGTATTTCCTAAATAAAATATTAGTAAATTCCCAAGATAAATTATCTATTTTTCAGACTTACATTAATAAAATTTTCAAAAATTTTGTGCTCATTTGATTAAGAAATAAATCATTTAACTCTTTTTTAAAATTCTATTAAGAATATTTATAAACTCCAATGGGACTCATCGTTGAAGTTTAGAAAAAGGAATATACTCTTCATATGAAAGTTCCAATTCAATTTCATTCCTAATTCTTAGGGTTTTACCATTCTTTCCATCCCCTCTCCGATTTTGGTTTCAAGATTCTCCCTTTCACCTTCCCGCTCTGCGTTCTCCGCACTCCACTGTTGTTTCTGGATTTAATCTTGATTTTCATCAGATCTTCGAGGTACAGAAGCTATGCTTGTGGTTTCAAGTTTTTCTTTTTGTTAATCTTTATCACTATTTTTGATTTTCCTCTAATGAGAAATGATGATCTGATGTAGCTGCTAGCTTGTGTCATCATAATTTATGACTTTTTCATGCTTGATGATTGTTATGGCTTTGATTTTGGTAATTTAACCCTGATGAAGGTTTTCAAATTCTTGGAAAATCTTCACATGTTTCATCATTATTGACCTTGAGTCTGTAGGGATAATGTTTTTTAAAACATAAAGTTATTATTAGATTAAATCTCTAAAATGGTCATTGAAATTTTTTAATAGTAAGGCCTAGTTGACCCTGAGTCTGTTATAGGTAGAAAGTTTCCACTAATCTTTGTTTGAAACCGGATTTTTTCTCCATACGCAAAAGTCAGGGATCAACCACTTGTTTAAAAATATTACCAATTTGGTATTTAAAAATCTCATATGTTGGTGAAATTAGTATTTTTTTAGGGACAGTTGTGTCCTCTCGGGGACTATTCCGAAATTTGTTAGAACAAAGTTAGTACGGCTTATTTTTCATAGATTAGAGACTGCTATTGAAGGAGAGTGTGCGTGTTTAGGTAAAGGGTGCAGATTTTAAATACATAGGATGCTCTTAGTTTTTATAGGATAATATAGTTGATCCATATCATAAAGATTCGACAAAGTTTTATGTTGGGTGTCGACTGTCTAAGACAACCCTCCTTTTATCTAGGTTTGCGACCGGCTATGCATATTAAAGCTAACATAGGCAGGATTTTTTTATAGGATAATACATGTAATTTTTAAAATTCCAGTGTCTGCATGTGCACACCCTAGCTCAAGAGTGGATCCCTTGCATGTTTTAATCACTTAATTTTCTTTGTTTGCATGGAAGATTGTCTGTGTTGGGTTTTGGAAGATTGTCGGGATTTGGGTGGGAAGATTGAATGCTGAAAAATTATTCTGATGCTTTATTATTGTGAAGCTTGTTATCGTAGTAATTCAACTAGCTAACACATTGATTTTGTTGTATCCAGATTTACATAATCTAGTTGGTACAATTTCCATTTCGAAGAATCAATTTAATGTCTGAGTCAGAAGCTCAGCCTCCAACCAGCTTTGGTAATGTTGTAACTTCCTGATATCTGTTCACTGTAAGGATATATATAGTTACACATTAATGTTAACCTTATGTGACATTTGAATCTTCTATAGTTCCGGTTTATATAGATACTTTGCTTCAGTATGTACATATGGCTGTTCATGTTTGATGCATCTTTCTGTTCTCGTTCAGCATATTTTGTTACTCTCTTGTGTTGGCCTGATCTCAATAAGGTTTGGATTCGGAATTGAAAATTGTTTGATATTCCCATTTAAAAATTATATTCAAATTTGACAATATATGTTTGACAAATTAAACTATTTATCTTTAGAAGATTGGAAAACGTTTGCTGAGGAGGATTTCTTTTTCTTGCAGTTTTTTTAATCTAATCTGCTTTTGTTAGTTCTAATGTTTGCCCTTTTTTTTTTCTCTATTATAGTTTCCGATGTTCTACTGTGGAAGCGGTGGCAAGTTTCGTTCGCAGCCATTGTTGTTTCTACGATTGCCTGGCTCCTACTCGAGTGGACCGATTTACCATTCTTAACAATTTGTTCTGATGTCTTGCTGCTTTTGATCGTACTATTGTTTCTGCATTCTAACTATGCCGCACTTAGAAATAGGTATGATTAGTAACCCTTGTTGTGCTTGAATTATGTTTTTCACAGTTTTAAAACTGACAGTATGTATTTGGTTATCCTTTTCTCTCCGAGTAGACAACCACCATCATTACCGGAGCTAGTAGTGTCAGAGGAGATGGTTAGCAACGTAGCTGCTTCATTTCGGGTGAAAATCAATAATGTGCTTCTTATAGCTCACGACATCACTATTGGCAAGGATTTTAGAGTTTTTTTTAAGGTAAGTTTTGTTTCAGGTTACAATGTTTTAGGAAATGTTGATGAGGGAATTATTATCTAAATAAATAGTGTGGAAATGCCTTATATAAGCCTGACCTACTTTTATAACGAATTGCCTTAAATAAGCTTAACCTACTCAGCTTTATTTAAGCCATTTGTAATGCTCAACCTAACCTTATAAAGCCTAGCTTAGCCCTAAAGCCAATTTTTTTATAAGGCAAATGATAGTATTGTTATTTTGCTTCAAATCTTGTAAATAGTTTAATTAATATATTTTTAAGGCTCCTTTTAGCTTTTTTTTTTTTCTGTGTCTCGTTCTTCGCTATAATCAGAGTCTAGCTGGGTGGACCCATATACTTATTTTTTTTAAGACTTATGGCTATCCAACACTTGTTTTTTCCATTCACAATACTTGATCCCAAGACCTTGCGTAAGAGGAATCAAACTCCTTGCCACTGGAACAAAATTCTAACATGCTTTATATGTTGCCTGAAAAAAAGACTTGACCTAGTTTATTTAATAAGTTGGGCCTGTGCCAAGACTCATGCGAGCCACACCTACTGTGGGTCAAGTGGCCCCTCTTCAGCTCTCTTAGAATTGTGGTTGGGGCTAACTCAACCTTACAGAACCGGGTTGTAAAATGGGGATTACCCCACTTATAAACATATGTTCAGGTTATAATTGTCCTACGCGGGACTCTTTAACAAGTTCCTTGTCCTATGTGCTTGTAAAATTTAACAAGGATTGCATATAATTTGGGATGAGCTCAAGCAACACATAAGCTATTAGTATTTTTATTAAATCTTTTCTATTAAAGCTATTTCATCAAATTTATCATTTGGTTTTTCAACAATAACTGTTAACTTGTTCTGTTATGACAGAACTTTATGATCTATTATATTATGACTATCCATGTCTCAAGTGTTTATTTTGCTACAGCAATGCAATTTTAACGTTTAGAAATGATAACATAACATAGTAATTCTCCTTCTCAATTTTCCATACGACCAAGGAATTTGGAAAATGAAAAACATTATTCAGTGTTTATTTTCTACTTAACAGGTGGTGATTTGTTTGTGGCTCTTGTCTGTCATCGGCAGCATCTTCTCCTTCTTCACACTTGCTTATATTGGTATGTTTGCACTTCATGTTTAACTATATTAAAGAGTTTTTGATGTCTCTAACTGAGACTTTTCTTTTTAACGAACCGTAAATTCCGTTCTAAACCATTTTGGTGCCTTTTACTGTCTGTCATTTGTCCAACCCTACACAATGTAATTGCTGTCCAACTTTCTTTACATTTGCATGGTTTTATTCTTACTCATTGGATATTTCTACAAGCATATGGTTGTTTTAAACTATACGGGTAACACACCATGTCACATGTCCTAATTTCCATCTTATTAGAATAACACTAAGACAGTTTAGGTATAACTACTCTATGCTTGTAACTACCAAGACTGACAAGCTATGAAACACGGACATTCCGAATTTGACCCCGACACTGACACAGCAACATCAATAATAATTTGAAAAAATAGATAAATTAAACGTAATCACAAGTGCCGGAGCAAGTGTCCGATACCGACACGGACACGTACACATTTTTTCAGAGATGTCGGTGCTACATAGCTGACAGGTGTCAGCTTGGCATACCCTGACCTGCTATAGCAGCAGGTTATCTGGTTGTTAATATAAAAACAACCAGGTCCTCTCTTGTAACTAACTTTTGAAATGAAAAGAGAAGATTGTTACAGAATATAATGAGTTCAATTACGATTTCTATCACATCTCAAGCCATCATGTTAAGTTATAAAAATAATAGTTTTTTAAAGCAATGTTTCTTTTTGAAGTTTGAACCACATTTGTTAATATTTCTAGTTTCAACACAATTCACCAATTTATATATAAACTTGATAGAACAGCAATCCCGATATCCGGAAGTGTAATGACAAAACTCTTGATTCTGAATACTGTTGTTCTAATTTGTATTTTGCTTATGGTGACAGGAACCCTGATGATGATTACTCTCCCTGCACTGTACAGAAAATATGGAGATTATGTAGATAAATGCTGCGGGGTTATCAACCACCAATTTTCAAAACATTATAGAATTGTTGACGAGAATGTTTTCAACAGACTGCCTCATAATATACCGAAAGACAAAGATTCTTGAACAAACTATTCAATCTTGCTGATATGCAAGTCTAAACTAGCACTCCACATCATACTTGCAGGAGACAATTTTGTAGTTCAGATGCTGCTTGAGCCAACTTTATGATAACTGTTTTCCTTTTCTGTACATTGAAATTGAGATTTCTTTTGCAAGTTTGTATAGCATAATACCTTGACGATGATATTGGAGCCAATTTTTCAGTAATCATTTGATAAGATTTGTTGGGAAATTTTGTGCATTCATGACAAAGAAACATGTGATGAATGACCGAATTGAGTATATTGGAATATATTGAACTTTATAATGTGTTACACTAATCATTTAACAAGTTATACACCCGGGAGTTTTATGTATGTATAGGGTATCATTTGTCACGTTTGAAAGTCTAAATATCTTCACAGCTTTCACTGGTGTGGAGTCTGCTCTGATTGCTTGTAGTAATTTCATTAATTGACTTCCACTAGTTTTGATAGAAAGTACTGCCTTATATGATTTTGCATATGTTTGGTTGAGTGTTTCCACCACCATTTTCACATTCCAATTCACTTGTTTTGTGAAGCTAGAAAACTAAGCTTATAGTGTAACGTGGTTTTTTAACTTGAATTTGATATGGTAAACGCCCAACCATAATTTTTTACTATAGAGAATTATTTAATGTTTTTATAAAAATATTTAATAATTATTATAAAAAAGGTAATATAATTAGGGGTATTTTTACAAAGAAATAATTATTGTACATCAAAGAGTTTTATTTTTTTTTCCAAATAGTTTAGTGCTTTAACAAGACATCAAAGAGAGTTTTATAAAAAGACAACTTTAAAAGAAATTTATATTTAGGATAAATGTTATTACCTGAATTTGAATCTAATCTCAAACAATATTTATCATCTAATCTCAAACAATATTTATCTAGTAAGTATATCCGATAAGTTTGGTTGGATCCTAATCCAAACTCGAGAGACATTTCATACGATTTTTACTAGCTTCGCATTGATAGAGTTATCGATTCGTGTAATTTACATGTGTGTGTGATTTTGGAAGGTAGAATGTGTTATATTTGAGATTTTGGATGGTGGTGATACATGTTTGTAGATAAGATTCTAATTTTGAAAACGTGGAAACTACATAGGTTACTCTTTTGAAAATTTTAATAAATCATAGTTTTTTTATTTTTTTATAAAGGAACCTGATTTTCAATGTTTGTCATGTGTGGATGTTAGGCTTGTCACATTAGAAGTATCCCGTGTTTCCACAAAGTTTGTATATTGACAACGTTTTTCTAACATAAAAGAGAGAATACTAAAAGAAGAACAACTTTGAAACTTTCACGAGTGCTAAAACTCCTAATAAGGATTCCTACCCCTATGACTAGTTGTAAAGAAAATTTCAAAATGCTTTAAAAATGGAATTTCAAAATTTGTACTATAATAATGGTGAATAATGTTGTTTTCTTAGAACATGTCTCTAGCATAGTTGAATTATGAATATGAGGAGTGGATTGATAATACTAATATTGAATTTAATTGTTTATGATGGATGATTGAGGCAATTAGAAATTGATATCTTGATAGGATTTGGACTTTTTGTAAGTATGTGATGTCATCTTCAACTAGATAAGCTTTGTTTTAAACTACCAATCAAATACATGCAGTTATTCAAAACGATAAAATATTTCCATCTTATTACACAAAAATTATAGCAGTGAAGCAATATATCAAAACAAAAATGTTCAATTTGAACTCTCAACCTTATTTACATGCATCTAAGCTCTTGGAAGATAAATAACTACGTCTCACTATGTCACATATATGTACATAGAACTATGAAAGCAATCTAAATGAGAGGGAAGAATGAAAAATTGCCTAGCCGCAGCCACCTAAGGGGTGAAACTACTCTGCAAAGAGAAGACTCGAATCTCCGTAAAGCAAATGCGGGGAAGAACCATCTTAATTTCTTCCATAGATCAACATTAACAAGAAGAAAAAAGAGAGCCAATGTGTTTTTAGATCGTGGAACTTCTTCAAGAGCTGTAGAATGCCATTGTGCTACATAGGGCCGACACTTCAGATTGGCATCTGATCGATGTCCGACCCTTGCACGACATCAATAGAGATGTTTTCTCAAATGTCAATGTCAGTGTCGTGTTTCATAGATACTGTGTCAATTGGCTCATTTGCTGCGTATATTAAATAAAACAAACTTACAAGCTACATAATTATGAGGTCTCGCGGAAGCTAATTGACCTTGACAATGCTGCTGGATTGGCCTGCAAGACTGGTGAGTTTGAGTTTTGCATGTCATCTTTCTCGTCACCCTTTGTTGCGAATGCTTTGAAAAGTCCTCCTCCCCCGCGAATCAAGTCTGTCTTATTGTTTTTAATCCCTAGAGTTGTCAATATAGAGCTTTTTTCCGCTTCTCCTAAGTCATCAATCCTCAATGTTTTGGGAACCCAAAGAGACTTTTCTTCTTTATTGATTCCTTCGTCAGAACCACCTGCTGCATCATTCGATTTGGCCATGCTTTCTTCCCTTGAATGCTTACCTAAGGTTGGCGAGTTAGGACCGGAGTTAAGGGATGCACTATTTGGCGACGATGGTTGCACTAGCCATGGATTGTTCCATGCACCTGGCACAGTAAAACCCCAATAAGCTGGTGGAGGATAGAGTGGCACGGCGAATCCTTGTGGGAAAAAAGCAGGCGGTGGCTGTACTTGAGAGCTCCATTGAGCGGGATTCCACGGAAAAAGCCAAGGGGCACCTGGGTAGTAGGGAACTTGAGGTGGGAAGCTTTGACAATTCGGCATAACTTGTCCTAGAGAACTGTTGGCAGTTGAATTTTCTGTCGGGGTTGTTGATCCATCAGAGGATTTATTGGAATCATCATTGCGCGTTTCTTCACCAGTAAAGGGAACATGGATTCTCAGTTCTTCAGGTCTAATGAATCCGTTTTTCGGGGAAATGCTAATTCCTTTATCAGCTAGGTTCAGCGCAGATTCCATTGATTCACACAAGGGTGAATCAGTCCCGAACGTAAAGACTGTTCCGTTACAGTTCAAGGAAGGATGATGGACTCCGTTCGGTATGTCGGATTGAGAATTCTGAACTGCCGCTTCCGGGACAGTTATCTGACGATACTGAGTACCGGGATTCTTGTTCTTTCTACGACCGGCCCCAACAGGCACGTTTCTCATGGCTCCCCCGGCAGTCCAGTATCTTTGACAGTTCTTACAGAAATGACGCGGCTGATTGACATTGTAGTTATTGTAGTAACAGAATTTCGTGTCCATGCTATTACATCGGGGGCAAGGAAGTATTTTGTCTGGCTTTTTCAGTGTCTTATCTTGCGAATTCTCGGCTTGTTCTTCTTTACTCTTTCGCTCCTCCTCGGCAGAGAGGTTAATAGATTCATCCACTAAAATTGAAGCAGTGTTTATATCGGTGTTCTTTTCTGACAATTGTGCTAGAGCTTCATCTTTTTCCTTCTTATACTCAGCCGGTTCCTTTTCCTTTGTGTCCTGAATTCCCGAAAACTTTTAATGAGTACAATGTTTTTGACAAAAAAAAAATGATACAAAGTACAAACAATGCATTATATTATGAAAACGAAAGGTTAACTGATAATTGACTATAAACAAGACTACAATGAACAAGAAAACAAAAGCAGAAACGGAAGTTCTTAAATCTTATCTTTATTCATTTGGAAAAATTGGAATACTCGATCATACAAAGTATTCAGACATAGAAAGTAAACATTAGATTGAAACATGTAGTTGTCCACGTTAAACACAACGAAAAGAGGTTTTAGAAGCCGAAACAAACAATTTACAAAAAAGAACTTGACATTATAAGCTCTATTTAGTCCATATTGAGACTCGGTGAATAGATTATTCTATTAATCACAAAAACAGTTTAGGATCTAAGAACGACTTTGATAATACCGTTTAGGTTCTAAGACTAACTTAAACTAGGGTCAAGGTTATAAATAACGGTCGCAGTGACATAAAGGCTTTTGCAATTTCGGTCCGTATAGGGATTGCAACACTAATTGCGCAGTGTGAATTAACCACAATTTGTTCTTTATCACAAAAACAGTGAATAACGGTATCGGTATCAGTACCTTCCGATTCTGTTATGTCGCGGTTTTTTTCACAGTAACAAACCGTTTTACTAGGGTTTTTCCCAATAACTATGCTCACAAAGTAATTTCTCACAAAATGCTACTAAAATCAAGCACCTTAAGAATTAATCCAAAATACTTAACCTACAAAAACATAACCATCTAATATTCAAGCTTAAGCCATCAGAAACTTCGGCAGCATCAAAGTAAAAAACATCATCAAAATTGAAAACCCTAACAAACCTAACTAAATTGTAAAATTGAAACAAACAAATCAACAACACAGATCCAATAAACACCAAATCCCAACTGAAAAACACTAAACCCTTTACACAAACAAGATAACAGAGCAAGTCAACAGAATCTTCAATGTCACAAAACTAAGAAACTAACACCAACCCACTAAATATTTTCACATTTCAAACAAAGGGTCACTCTCAAAATCAAAAATTTCTTCATACCTCATCAATTTCTCGCTCTTCTTCATCCATATTTGAATTTGAAGAGTTAATGGAAGAAGCATGGTTCTGAACGATTCCTTCATCAACAACATCACCAGAAGATGAATCCGGAGCACCGGCAGAGTCACCGGATCCAGAAGAGATCTCCGGCACCGGAATCGTCTTCCCAAAAAGCTTGATCGCAGGGTCTCTAGCTTCCAACATTTTTCAGTTTTTTTTTGTTTCTTTTTAATTTTTAATTTTTTGGATAAAACTAAAATAGCATATATTTTGTTTTTTGGAAAAAGTTGTAGAGAGAGAAAGTTTAGATAGAGAGAGAAAGTGACACATTGTAAGTTGTGTGGTTAAATTGTGTGCTCTTTTTGTTAATTAACAAAAGTTGCTACATCAGATGCAACAATGAATTTGAGCCACAAGTTGTTTTGTGGCTTTGAAAAGATGTTTCTCTTTCTCACTTTTTCACTCTCTCTTTTGGGAATAGCTAAATTTCACATATTTCAATGAATGACACATAGCTTTTCCACTTTAATTCAGTCAGTACTCTTTTCAAGAGATTTAGTAGCAAGATAGAGATAAACTCATGGACACTCATCATTCATTCAGTCCCATTTTGTTTTCTTATGATTATTTCAATTGAATGTTAAGTATGTTCCTCAATTACAACTCAATTTTTTTTAAAACAAAAATTGAATTTTGGTACTTTCTAATATTTAGTGGGTATAAAGTTTATGCTAAAAAATGTTAGAATAAAAAAATATTGAAATTATTAATAAAAAAAATATTGAAATTATTAATAAAAAATATTGAAATTATAGTTTTGATCTTTTGTTTTATGAGTTTCGTAAAATTAATCTTCATGTTTTTATATTCAAATGATTTTGATTATTTTTTAAATAATTTTTATATTTAAAATTTATGATTTAAATTTATATTTAAATGCCTTTTTGGTTCTTTTATTTTGGTGTTTTTTAATTTTTAATTCTTCAATTTTAAAAATAGTTTTTTGTCATGAACTTTACACCATTTTAAATTTGGTTAATCTCATTCTAGTTTTACATATGTGGCATAGATGATTAAGATAAAAAAATAATTTTAATAACATAGCAATGATGATTAAGATGATTTATTATTTAATACTTTTTATTGAATCTTTTTAGAAATTAATTAATTAAGTTTTTTTAGAAATTAAATAATTATAATTTTTGAAAATTCTTTGGCCACAAGTCCATCTCATTTCAGCACTAGCCTAATATCCAAGTTTACTAATGGTGGTATTAATGAGCTATATAAACATTAACTATATTTGTTATAAAAAATCAATGTGAGACTTAATGAGAAATAAAACTCACATTACACTTGCAACTTTTTGTTTTTTTTTCCAATCTAATTGCAATATCTCCAAACCAAATCATCTAACATTTGGTTTCAACTATCGTCACTATGTCAATTATTTTCTCCAACCAATGTTACTCAAGTTTTCAAGTGCAAGTACATAATTTTTGAGTTTGTGTGTTTGTGATGTTACTTTGTTATGCAGTTGAGTTTACTTTGTTTCAATGGTGGTATAAATCTAACCTTAACCAAGAAAGGAAACTAGTATTCCCAAATTGATACAATTCTAACATGTCAAAGATGTTCTTCGTTCACTATTTCTATTAATTTTGACAAAATTGATACAATTTTGTCAAATATGTTCTATCAATTTTACAACAGGTGGTGCAAAGTGGCTTTTCTACCAACACATGATGTTGTTTTGAATTATTGACTATGTCCATAAGAATGCTATAACATGTCATAATATTAGAAGTAGATACCACCAAAACATCATACAGTCCACTGTCCAACAACTCCTTGTGATCCTGAGAAAACCTTCACAAACGTAAATAACTTATGTGATTAAGGTGATCAAATGATACATAATAAGTACAAAAATGCTAATGTAAAAAACTCACTGACTGTGTTCTTTGTAATCTACTGAAAGTATGATAGGCTGTACATCAGTACCATAATGGCTAGAAGCATAAGACACGTTATTGTTTGCATCATATCTTATCCATTCAAGTATGAAGTATCTCCTACAAAACACTGCATTTCCATTTTACACCATGATTGTAATTCATTTTTAGTACTGTCGCTACTCGAAAAAGTCGTGCAACGACGGGGGAGGCGAGAATGAAAAGACAGAAGAGCCGCCATCAAACTTTATTTATCCCATGAGGGGAAGGGGAAACATCGAGAAAACCCTAAGAAAAGAACGGATAAGATGGTCTCGCGACCAAAGAGCGGGTTCGGAAGCCGGTTATGCGAAGGGAAGGTATTAACACCCATCGCATCCATCGTACTCGATGGGAACCATTTGTTTGTCATATGTGTAAAGATATCGGCTAAAAGGTTATTGTTGTAAAGAGTGTTCCTAGGGATAAAGAGAAGGGTTAGAAACAGGGAAAGGAGAGGTAACGGGGGGAGAAAAGACTCGGTAAGACTTCGCGATCCCAGGCCTACGTATTCTCAACAGGTATGAGAAAGTCAGAGTCAACGTAGTTCGGGGAACTACGGGTCGAAATATGGGAACGTGCTCGGCAAGGATTGGGGCCTTTGTGCCTACGTATCTTTACTTAAAAGAAGTAAATAATCAGAGCAACCGTAGTTCGGCCTACTACGGGTAAAAGGAAAAAAATGGTGCTCATCAAGACATCATCGTCTTGTGCCTACGTATTCTCAACAGATATGAGAAATCAGAGCAACGTAGTTCGTGATATGGTTAAAAGAAAAAAATGGTTGTGCTCACCAAGACATCGTCGTCTTGTGCTTACGTATTCCCATCTAGTATGAGAAATCAGAGCAACGTAGTTCGGGATACGGTTAAAAAAAAAGAAAAAGAAAAAAAGGGTTGTGCTCGCCAAGACATCGCCATCTTGCGCCTACGTATTCTCATCTGGTATGAGAAATCAGAGCAACGTAGTTCGGGAAAACGGTTAACCGGTGTTTTGTGGATGATGTTATCGTATGCATTCTAGCAGTTTAGGTGTATTGCTTCTCGCTCGTTGGAGACTTAGGCGTTACCTGTTTGCGGTAGAACGGACGTAACATATCCTTTTTGAAGAGATTAATTTTCACCTATCGAGGCAAGATGTCACGTTTGATTTGTGGGAGTTGTTTTTAGGGTCGAAATAGGTCCTCGGATAGTAACCCCTTGCGGGTAGTACCCAATTCTTTATCTCAAAGTTTTGTTATGAAAAAGTGTGGCGAATAGAGTCACGGCTTCGTATTGAAAGACGAGTATCGAGACTACACACTCTACAGTGAGTATCCTGACACTCAGAGAGGCAGAAGTCTACACTCAATCCTCTCTCTTTAGTTCAATACAAAGAGAACTTCATTCTCTTATTAAAGGTATTTTTGATCTTGAATGGTAAGTGCTTTGTGACAGTGAATCCTAAAGGTAATGTCAAGCAGTCGGGATAGGAGAAGGCCTACGCCTAACCACTCCACAACCATTCATGTTTTATTGTGAAAAGAGTTTCGAAAATGCACTCGGTACGAGACCGAGGTTTTTAGACTTGAGTAGAAAAGTTTTAAAAGGGAAGTTTTGAAAAGAGAGGTGACGAATATAGTCGCGTCTTCGTATTGAAAGACGAGTATCGAGACCACACACTCTACAGTGAGTATCCTGACACTCGGAGAGGAAGAAGTCTACACTCAATCCTCTCTCTTTAATTCAATACAAAGAGAACTTTATTCTCTTATTAAAGAGTATTTTTGATCTTTAATGGTAAGTGCTTTGCGATAGTGAACCCTAACGGTAATGTCAAGCACTCGGGATAGGAGAAGGCCTACGCCTAACCACTCCACAACCATTCAAGTTTTATTGTGAAAAGAGTTTAAAAATGCACTCGGTACATGAACGAGGTTTTAGGAGAAAGGGTTTTGAAAGGAAGTTTTGAATTGGTTTGAAAGATAGGAGGTGAATACGAATATATACAGGATACAAAACCAAAAGTCCACCAAATTTTGGGTTTTGTGGTTTTGATATTTATTAAGTGTTTTGAAAGAGTGAGCAAGTGGAGGGTTAGATGACAGTATGTATAATATGATAGTATGTAGTATGAACAGTGATAATAATATGAACAAGATAATGGACAAGACAATATCAATAGAGAATATAAACAGTAAATATGTGCAAGAATATAAAACAGTGAGATGTTAATAGAATTTAAATTCGGAATTTAGTAATTAGTGGAACGGAAAAAAAGATCAAAGGGAGTGGAGTCTCGTCTTAATTATAAACTCGCGTTGATTAATCAAAGGTAATCTCTCACGAGCCCAAAGTATAGAAAAATGATCCAAATGATCATTTTCTATAGATTTGAAATAATGAAGATTAATGACTTCGATAAAGCGACATTTACAAATGTAAAGACTTCATCGACCGCAAAAAGTAGGTTAAGATCGAAATAAATTCGAAAATAAAGTTAAACCTCGTCTTAATCGCAAACTTCATGTTAATTAATCGAAGGGAACTTCTCACGATCTCAAAGTAGAGAAAATGACCCAAATGGTCATTTTCCTTAGATTTGAAATAATGAAGGTTTCAACATCCTCGAGTATTAATGTTTGACGAATCGGAGACTTCATCGGTTTGAAAACGAAGGTTGAAATGAAGAAAAAACGAGGAGAGGAAAAGGTGGGTGGTCTCGGATCCATCATTATTTATCACTAGTTTGACTAATAATGATTTACGGAAATCTCATCATCGACCAAAAAGAACAATGAAAATAAACAAAGGTGAATTAAAATAAAAAACGAATAGTTGTAAATAAAATTGGTCTCGGACTTGTTGTTATTCATCAATAATTTGACAAACTACAACTTCGAGGTCTCTTCATCGACCCAAAAGTAGGTATAACAAAGCCTCAAATATAAATAAACACTAAAATCTAGCTTCTAAGAAAAATATGCTAAAAATCTAAAACAAAACCAAAATATAAAAAAAAAAAGAACTAAAAAGAAATCTAAAAAGTTTAGTTAGAGAAATATATTAACAATTCTAACAAAAAAACTTGTTTAGAAAAACATTATAAAATTATAAAAACTTAATTAAAAAAAAAATTAAAAAACTAATTTATAACAGTACATTAACAATTAAAAAAAAAACTAATTATAGATTAAAATGGGTTTTATAAAAATACATTAACATTAAACAA